AAAAAAAAAAAAAGGAGAGAGAAGAGGATAAAGACAGCAGTGAATCAATAGAGAGGCAGGATGTTAATGAGAAATAGATATGGTTTATTACCTGTTGATGATGACATGTATAGTATTCTCAACTGAACCGGTATGGGAAGTATTTCATGATGGGTGAAGTCTTTTTAATAAGCAAAAATGAGAAATAGTGATTGATTGTTTAAAAAAAATAATAATAACAATTATTGGGAAAAGCATGGAAAAGATATTGAATGATAAAGCGGGGAGATTGATATCTCTGTATTGACTGACATGCATGGCATCCCATTTTGAAAAAGCAATGGAAGTCAATGTAAAGTTATATGTAATCTAGTGTAATAGAAAGAAGATTATGATGATAATAAAATAAAATTAAAAAAAAAAAAATTACATGCGTGAAGGAAGGGACCAACAGAAGGCACAATAGTTATGATGCTGGATTCGCACATGGCTGACCGCGGTTCAAATCCCGTAGCTAGAAGCTTGAAACTCATACCAGGCGCATGTGTGTATGTGCCCAAAATCCCAAGAGGAGAATGGCAAAGAGACTGCAGCATGGCCAATCCCCCTGGGGCGGGTAATTTCTCACTTTCTATCTTTCCGTCTCTCTAGCAAGCACATATGCTCTACAGCAAAAATCTCTCCCCCCCCCCAAAAAAAAAAATAAGTGAGAGAATGCAGTCATCCTTACCGGTACAATTTAGGTTCTTGATGGTTTCCCACATCACATCTCTGTAGAGTCTCTTCTGTGAAAGATCCAGCAAAGCCCACTCCTCCTTGGTGAAGTTCACACAGACATCCTCAAAGACCACTGGGTCCTGCAACATTCCACAGATGTGTAGAAAAGGAAGGCTGAGGGACCAGCAGTTGGTGTAATGGCTATGTCGCTGGACTCCCATATAGTCGACTGCAGTTCAAGTCCCAGACCCAGTGGCTTAAACTCATGCTGGGCATGTGTGCATGCATGCCCAAGATCCCGAGAGGAGAATGGAGAAGGGATTGTGGCATGGCCATCCCCCTGGGGGGGGGGTGATTTCTCACTTTCTGTCTCTCTCTCTCTGTCTTTCTGGTGAGCACACATGCTCTATAGCAAAAACTTCTTTAAAAAAAAAGAAAGAAAGAAAAAAGGAAGGCAGAAACTGACAACACTGGGGATTTATAATCAATTCGTAAGTTTATGGAATGCTATGGACTCCAAATATTCATTTCAGAATGTGGTCAATCAGAATTCTTCATCTCTGTCAGTAACAATTTCCTTCCACATGGCAATTACCGATGCTAAAACTGGGGCCTGCAGGTGGGCTTAACAATCTCACCGCATGGCTCTGTAGATCTTCTCCAGGTGGTCACTACATGTTTGTGACCTTTACAATGTCTTTTCCTCTTTTTTAAAAGAATTATTTGGGGACCAGCAGGTGGCATGATGATTAAGGCCCTGGGCACTCCCGCATGGCCGACCATGGATCAAGTCCTCGACCTGATGGCTTGTTTTCTCATTTTCCCTCTCTCTCTCTCTCTGGTCAAATTAAAATAAATGAATGAATAAATAAATAAAATGAAATAACTTTAAAAAAATAATTACTTATTTTGAGAGGTTTTTGCTATAGGGTGTGTGTGCTCGCCAAAAAGACAGAGACAGAGACATAGAAAGTGAGAAATCAACCCCCAGGGGGGATGGCCACTCCACAATCCCTTCTCCTCCATTCTTGTCTTGGGATCTTGGGCACATATGCACATGTGCCTGGCGTGAGTTTAAACCACCGGGGCCAGGACTTGAACCTTAGTCAACTACATGGGAGACCAGTGACATAGCCATTATGCCAACTGCTGGTCCCAAATTATTTAATTTTATTTATCATTATTTTCTTTTTAAAAGAATTATTTAACTTTATTCATTCATTCATTCATTGTAATTTGACCAGAGAGGAACAGAGTGAGAATGAGAGAGAGAGAGAGAGAGAGACAGAAAGTGAGAAGGCAAGCTGCCAGGTCCAGGACTCAAACAACAGTCAGTCATGTGGGAGTCTAGTGCCCTTAACCACCAAGCCACCTGCCGGCCCCTTATTTATCATTATTTTTCAATTTGCTATAGGGCACATCTGCTCACCAGAGAGAGAGAGAGAGAGAGAGAGAGTAAGCAACCCACCAGGTCTGGGATGCAAACCGCAGTCAGTCATGTGGGAATCCAGAGCCCCAACCATCATGCCACCTGGTAGACCCATCTTTACAATGTCTTGACTGACTAAGCAATTTTTTTTTTTTTAAAGAATAATTTTGTTTAATTTTATTTATTTTAATTTGACCAGAGAGGGACGGGGGAGGCGAGTGAGAAAGCAAGCCACTAAGTCTGGGAGTCAAACTGTGGTCGGCCATGTGGGGGAGTCCAACGCTCTCAACTGCCACGCCACCTACCGGCCCGACTAAGCAATTGTTTTATGTATTTTCATGGAACTGTGTTAGCCTCTGAGTGACTCATTAGCATAAACTCAGGTATGCCCTGGAAGTAACTTGTTATGAGCAATAAAAGACCCCTAATACACAGGAAAATGCACGGCTTTTAAGGACCTCTGTGAAAGAAACTGGGACAAGGAACTTAAAAATGTCTTTGTTGGGACCAGCAGTTGGCGTAATGGCTATGTCGCTGGACTCCTATGTAGCTGACCACGGTTCAAGTCCCAGATCCGGTGGCTTAAACTCATGCCGGGCACGTGTGTGTGTGCCCAAGATCCCGAGAGGACAATGGAGGAGAAGGGATTGCGGTGTGGCCATCCCCCCTGGGGGGTGATTACTCCTCTGTCTCTGTCTCAGTCTGGCGGGCGCATGTGCCCTATGGCAAAAACTTCTAAAAAAAAAAAAAAAAAGAAAGAAAGAAAAAAAAAAAGAAAGAAAGAGAGGGAGA